CCATAAACGGCAACTCTTACCTGAGTTGCGGATTCGGTCCGCATAGTCAGTCAATGACAAAACATCGACTTCTTTTGGAGCATGCAAAACAATCACTGTCGCACCCAGAACGCTGACAAGACAGCCACATTTCCCTAAAATGTTCAGCTTTTCTTTAAGATACCGAGAAGAAAGTATGGCCCTGAAAATTACGGTTTTAGCATTCATTTCGTGTGATATACAACCGAAGCATCGGTTCTTACGTCACTAAAACGCTGAACCCACCCAACGGAGTGACCACAGATGCTGGTGCAAATCCGTATGCGGTGAAATTCAGTGCTTCGCCAAGACCCACTAAAAAATGGCATATTTCACAACAGATAAACAACATATTTTAAATTGAAAAACAAGTCACTACAGCAGCGAGATTGCTGTACAACCCGGTTTTGGTCCATTTAAACAATGTTCAACTCCATGTGTCTCTAAATAGACTGTTTATCATGGACGAAGCACAGTGGATTCGAATCCATGATAATTCTGTTTTCTTTTCAGCTGATCATGTTACAGAAGTGGAACTTAAATACATTTCTCAAGCCAACACGGTGAGGACTTAACCAATTCCATGTTTTCATTGAAAGCATATATAGGATGGCGACAGTGGGTGGTAGTAAAGATACACATTGTGGGATTTTGTAGCAAAAGGACATGGAAAATGGCCGGGCAGACTGAAAATGAGCTGGTTTCGATGTACTGAGCACCATGCACAAGAGGTCCTAGTTAGTTTAGCTGATCGACCGTATTCAGTAGGGGAAGAGAGGGATAAAGATGTACACTACTGTCCCCGTTCCGTAACCTGATAAGAATAGAGGGCTTTAAAAATGGATAGAATAAAGAATAAATCATTATCGCAGCTGAAAACAATTTTAAGTAGCATCCACCACTGTTTCACCAGATCCTTTGTGCATTTCGTTCCAAAGGCAAATTTTTGGCCAAGAATTGCTAATGATTTGCAATTTAGTTGTAACCTACGAAGCTGCGTCATAGCAGACATATGCCAATTTTGCCGCAAATGCCTCATGTATCTGGATTAATCAGAAGATACCTCAATAATAGGTGGCTTAAGACCTACTACAATACAAGTACTGGGATGCTCTTATTCAAGAAACGTACCCAAAGAACCAGGAGGAAGCGCTGAATGATTTAATGTGTCCAGCTGAGACTGCCATCGAATATATGTTGGAAAGACCTATCGGATACTGAATAAAGGGATTAAAGAGCACTTATCCGCAAGTCCGCCTCTGACATTCTGACTGCTCTCGTACTGCGCGAAAGACCTTTTTGAGGGACGCTCCTTCAATCAAACGAATGTCTAATCGATAACGACCATGAAGGACTGGCAGTTTAGTAAAAGATTTCCTGCATATTTTCGTGACGAAGTATCACATGCACAATGAATACTCACCTTCTGTTGTGACAAGTGAAAGCTTGGATGCAACAGCCAGTGACATAATTTGGAGCAGTGCAGCGTAGCTAGTGGATGAAATTCAATTCAAAAATTTAAATTTATGCATATCCTGACTAAAATTTGGTGTTAATTGGGAACTCACTTTAAACTGATATAATTTTGTGTATGTAAGGCGGTTTGCTGACTGCCATATCTGTTGTGCCCAGACGATGCTACAAAGTGCGTAGTGAAACGCGTTGTTTCCGGTACTCAACGATGAATCGGTAAACCATCTACAATTCCTAGTGATTTTCTTTCAAATTAATATGTTTGGTCCATATTAAGGGAACCACGTCAAGTTCAGGACAGGCCTTCATAGCTTCATAGTACATGTGCCCTCGATAGCTCTATAGCTTGCCATGTCATTCCGTACTTTAGTTGCTGCTTAATTTCACGACAAGGAACAGATGATGGACTGTGGAGAGAAATGAAATGCGATGGCCATAATACAGGATCTTTAATTCGACCGTCGCCTACTATCGAAAATACAGTTATTCATTTGACTTGCAATTTAATAATACGTTTACACAAAATATTGCTGCACTTACTTAGAAAGATTCCAGCCCACCAAATTGGATACTTCAAATATGCATGTCCTCCTTTGCCTGCAAAAGAATTTTTTGAATGATAATTCAGAACAGGAGCGTGTTTACCAGCTCTCTGAGACAGGTTGCTCCAGGCAATGCAGACGTGCGCTTTCTTCTTCAGTACAAAGCTGGTGCCG